GTGAATTCTGTACATTAACTGTGCAGTATGTGAGTGAATACATTCTTCTGTCAGCCCAAATCTACAGCAGATAACTTCTCTGGAGGGTTACGAGTTTTAGTACTACAAGGATCAGCTTCTCACTGGGAATTTAAACTTCTAAAAGCAGAGCAGCGTGGAAGCATGTTGAAGAAGTCCATAGGAAGGAGTGTTCCTCCCTTTAAAAAAAAAGGAACTCTCTCCCGCTGTGCACACAGTGTATCATGAAGAAAGCTGGATGATAATTTGACATGCCAGTTAGAATGTGTGGAAAAGCTTTTAATATACAAGAATAGCCACACATAGCACGCTAAAGCTAAAAGAAATGTTAGATTTCAGAGCAAACAGAGGATTGTTGGATGGGTTATTAGACAATAATCTGAGTTCCTTTGGATTCCACCCCACACCACCCCAATATTTGCAGATAGAAGTGCATGGCTCACTGTCAGTAATGATGAGAGATGGCTCTGTTTTCTCCAATACTCTTAATTTCCAGTCGCTTAAGGATGATGGGAAGCAGAAGTCAATGGTGTTTATGCAAACTGTCAGTGGCCCTTGAAAAACCTGCATATTTTTGCTTGATTTAGCATGCCATGTATAACAATGCTGACAATGTCAACGAGACACCCAAATTCTTTCATTAGGCAGTAATTCAGTATCATGGATATTAAGTATAAGAATACCATAAATGGAGATGGTTTACCGGTGAAGCACTCTGGCCCATTTGGGTGTACATACATGGACTTTAGCAGCATAATCTTTCATTATGGCACTGGCATTAGTTTTGTGAGCAGAGTAAACTTCTCAAGGACTTTTTCCATATTGATGTCAAAACTGATGCTTTGGGGAAAGAATGATGGATATGACCAGCGTCTTTCCTTCTATTATTAATTCAGGGGTGATTTCTATTACTGTTGGTTTTTGACTGATGGAGTTTAAAACTAGATGCCAATTAAACAGGATGCCAAATTTGATCTGAAAAAGCACAAACATTTGGTGCCATTTTTTTACCATCCTCCCTCAGCTTGGCAGCGTCCAAATGTGTTTGGACTGCAACTCCTGGAATTTGCAGCCAATAATCACTCCTTCCAATAAAAGTCAATATGATTATCTTTGGGCAATAAAATTAGACTTAGGACAATCTAAGAAGCAAATGAGTATACAGTGATTTTTCAGAAGCTCTTGGACCTTTCTTCCACACCTACTTCTTGATTATGGGAACAATGTTTAATAGATTTGTCATGCAGGCTCTTTCCAAATGATAAAGAACTGTGTGCTGCAAGAGGATTACTCATATACTATTGCTTTTGATATATTTTATTATATGCTGTACATTCTGGATGAAGTTGCACAGTTTACATCAAAAGAGAGAAAATATGTACTGAATGACATGATAGTGTTGTGGAGAAAAGAGAAAGCCCTTCTAGTGTGAAGCTAGATCGCATTTCCTTTTTCAAAATTTGAATGGCCACATGAACATGCTAATGTGGTATAAAAAGGACTCAGTTCCTTCAAAATAAAATTAAACATGGAAAAAAAACTTGTATGGAATTATGAAGCTCAGGCATGTATCCCAAGCTATCACTATTATAAGAGGCTCTATGTAATCATTTCTGTCGTTCAATCATGATCACATAACCTTCAAGATCTAAAAGTATGGTGGTGGTAGTAGTAGTAGCAGGAGCAATGATAATAATGACCTTGGTGACAAAGTTTGTGTTTCTATTGCTGTAGAAAATAATTTGGCCTGGTTACATAGTTGTTAGAGTGAATGGAGTTAGACTCTTCCTGCATCAGCCATGCTTGCTATGGAAATATATTTGGCTCTTTGACAGCTGAGTAATCGTTGTGCATGGATTTTTCCTGCCACACAAAACAAGAAATTAAAATCAGGAAAGGGAAATGGAGATTCAGAAAGCAACTTTGATTTGCTATCTGATGACTCTACAGATGATCCTCGTAAATAAAAGTATCTTCTTTTTGTCTACAAAGGCCCTGAAAATGTGGTTCTCAGGACTCTTGTTAGTCCTTGGAGCTTCTCTGGTTGATTCTTAGGAGAGCATTTCACTCTGTCTCTGCTGTGACTGTCTTTAAACTTTTCAGTGTCTTGTATAACAGGTTGGAAGGACACCCCGTCTTTGCCTCTTACTGGTGGGCTACAATACTCTTCTCTCTCTGCTTCTATAAGCTTCTTGCTCCTTTTCCTGTGAGATGTTGCTGCGTTCATTTGTGGAGTAAGATGAGGCCCTTTGGGATCTCATGAATTGGCCCCAAATGTTATTAATTATTGCTGTAGTTTTGCTGTTGTGAAGAGGGTTTTGTGGGTGGGTGGATGAATTTAGTTATTTATTTAGTATTTATATAGTATTTAATTTATTTATTAATTTAGTATTTATTCAGGTAACTTGGCCTACTTTACATACTCTGTACCCATCACTTAGGAAATGGATGGCACCCCTTAGGTGGTCTGTCTGAAACAGCAGACATCCCAGATTGTCCATATTTCAGTCTGTCCCTTCACTTTGCAGGAGGTGGTCCTTCGGCTGGGAATGGATTGCTTCTTCACTAATATTATTTATGGATGGGTGGGTGGGTGGGTGGGAGGGAGGAAGGAAGGGTGAAGTTGTGCAGGCTGTTTTCTTCTGTTTCTTGTTTCCCGCTGCCACCCTGAACAGTGCCCTTTGTAAAAGCAAACAAGGCAGTGAGAATTTCTTGAGGCTGCCCAGCTGTTAAGTCAGGGACAAGCTTTTCTGTATGGTGGCTTCAGGGCTCATGTGTCTTAGCACCGCAGTTGCCAAAATATCTCCTCAGGGGGCTGTTAATGGGCCTGGGATTATTTAAATTCAATACTCTGGATTCCCTCTTCTTTCCAAAATAGACTACAAATTAACACTGTGGCTGGAGCAGTGCCTAAAAGCTTGGAAACATTTTCATAATGCAGCTTTAATCATAAGTCTTGGATTCTTTAAGATGTCATCTGGCCCAAAACAAATGGAAAGACTGGTTAAACAATATCAGTTACATTGGTATAGACTGGGATTGCTCTTTTAGTTATACCTGTGGCCATGTGTTTGTTCTATGGCCATACAAAAACCTTCTGTTCTAGGGTCAGATATGGCTCTCGGGCTAATTTCAAGCAGCCCTCAGAATCATTTCAAAACCCCTCTGCAAGAGATCAATTAAGGTCTTTAATAAGACCTATCTATCTTTTATCTGCAATCCACTTTTGTGGGGAGAAAAAAAGAATGTCAGGAAGAGGGAGAAGGGGATGTCAGACTGTAATGGGCATTCCCACTTTCAATTGCTGCTTCCAACAATTTATTCTTGACATAATGTGACCTCAATTGAGAAAAAATTCTCTGTACTTATGGTAGAGGAATATTAGCTGAATTTTCTGGTTATGGTGGTATAAAAACACATCTGTGCCCTTCTCTGGTGACTAGATTACAGGGCCTATTTTTTTTAAAAAAAATCTACCTAGAGGGGTCATTTCAAGAACAGTTCAACTTGGGACAGCCATTTCACTTAATAAATTTTTGGAGGCTGACATAACCCGAGAAGATCTTGCTGCATCAATAAGAAACTGAGGTGGTAGCAAATCTCTCTGTTTACTAACAGTGTCTGCCAAGTGAGTAAATTACTTTTTACATGTAACTGCGGAGGCAAATGTGTGTTTTCAGTGAATGATCTTGGCATTTTGGGGATTGGTATAGTTGGACTCCTGCCAAGGCCCACAATCCCGCTGGGGACTAACCACTCAAAACCTCTGCCCATACTTTTATTTTTATACAGCGTCGACTGTTTTTGTACTCTACAGACTTCCTAATACTTTATTTATTTATTCCATTTATATGCTGCCTTTTCTCTGAAACATCAAAGTGATTGCATACCATTTATTAATGGAAGAACAATCCTGTGAAATCGATTGGGCTGAGAGACTGGGAGCTCCATGGTTGAGTGGAAGCTTGAAAACTTGTGTTTCTTCTAAAGGTCTCCAGCACTGTAACAACCAGCATGCTAGTATTGAGATCAGCATCTTTCATTTAAAACTGCCTTGCTGATAAACTGTCAGTGGTGTAATAGGACTCAGAAGCAACTCCTTAAACAGAACCACAATTTCACTCTCATGTGGAACCTAGCAAAGTCAAGCTGCTTTAATAAAGAGCTGAGAGGTGGCTTGCTTGTGTCACGTCCTCTACCAGTCCTATAACATATGTATGCTTTTGGTTTCATTCTTTGGTTGAACAAATGTGTTCAGCCAGGTGATCCAGTTTCTGCATATTTATGAATTGCAGGAAAGGGTGTTCTAATAATCTTCTTGTGTAGTGAGATGGGCAGCATATATACATTTGAAAGATGGATGGATGGATGGATGGATGGATGGATGGATGGATGGATGGATGGATGGATGGATGAAGCTTTTGAAGTAAGTATGAAAATAAAATATTTCTCTATGATATTGATACGTCAACCAGATTTACAGTGTTACCAGGAAGAGTAGCATAAATGTAGTTGAGTCACCATTATGCAGCTATTAACTCCACTTATATAATGTACATAATAACTTAACACCTCTAATCGTGTGCTGTTATTTTGGTAATAGTCTAACGCTCTTTCTGTCAGGTAAATCATCATCGTCATCACCCTTTACTTGGGGAGTTTACCACAAATTAGATGATAATGGAAAAGAGAACACACAAAAAGTGTAGCACACCCTCCTCTGAAACTACTTACTTGAACTACTTACATTTCCAGCTTATTTTTTTCTAATACTTCAGCACATTGTATGACTTTTGCTTGATGTTCCCTGTTGCAGCTGTATGGTTTTACACTTACATTATAACAGAAGGTGGGGGGGGGGATTGCTGAGTCATTCTTTGCTGGGATTCAAAAAATACAAATTCACTCTACCTGCTAAAAATGAGCTGGGGAAATTTCTCTGTCCCTTCCAATGATGCATTTTCTTTGACTTGCTTCCCTAGATTGTAAAGTCCAAACAAGAAAGACCATCTCTGCCGCGTTTAATGCTGCAGCCGAGACAGTCAGATGGAATTCCCCGGGTTAGCATCCATTTAACAGATAGTTTGTGTTCCAAGGAGATGGAGTTAGCAGATGAAATCTCCTTCATAAGCAATGCTGCATTCTTCACCAGGTTAGTGTTTCTTCTTTCTCCATCAGAGGCAAGATTAGTTTCCAGATCACCTTCTGAGAGCATTACTCTGTGGGTGCACAAAGCTGCAGTTTAAGAGCACTGCAGCAGAGTGCAAATGCTGTGAGAAATCTTAAATGCTGAGCAGCCATCCATGGCTACCTTCAGACACTCGTTTTGCTTATCATTAATAGTGAAAATGATATTTTGCTTATATGCATGCCAAGAATTCTGGAGTGCTAACGGCACTATTAAAAATATGCCACAAGATGCCTGTGATTTTTGCTGTGGCCAAAGTTAATGATTTCCAGAAAAATAGAACAGTTTGATACATACAGCAACCATGTCTATGGCAAATTAGATTTTGTGAAATAAATAATCATTCTTTTCAGCATTTGTATTAATGGGGAGAATAAATTAAAGGAATGCTTCTATTTATTAGGTGTGTTCTTAATGAAACAAAGTGATATTGGAACATGCTTTTATCTTAGCTCTGTTTCAGCACTTGTAATGTGAGATTGCGGGGGTGGGGGGGGAGACATAATCTTAACAATTCCTTCCTGTGACCTGCTTTAGCTTTAGGAAAACAAGTAGATGAATCTTATAGTCTGCTAGTGAGGCAAAAACTTACAGCTTTTTCCACTTGAAGCCCATAATGAAAAAAGTCCTGGTCTGTGCCAAAAAGAGGTAAATGAAAGAGAGGTAGGTTAAGGAGATGCAGGCAAGACTAAATTAGAATGCCATTGAAACCCAAGATCCTGTGCCCTGTCACAGAAGACGCGTTGCCTAGTCAAAAGTGCTGAAGCAGCTGCTTTGCTTTGCATAGCTATCTGGCTTCAAGGGGAAATGTCTTCTCGGTGCTCAGTGAAGTGGCCAGTTGGTGTTAGCTCCAGTGCAGCGCTTAGGACACTCTTTCGTTGAGCTACCTCCAAGGACTGCTTGGGGAAACTTGATCTGAGCAAAATGCCCTTCTCAATTTCACACAAGCCTAATAGCCAAAGTCATGGTATACCAATGGGCTATCTGGGCTGAAGCCAGAAGAAGGTATACCTCTGTAGCCTTGAGTTGCTCATCACAAGGAGCAACAGCCTATAGATTGGAAGTCTGCTGGTTCAAATCCCCTTTGAGCCTAAGAACAGCATAGTAATATAGTCAGAAATCAAAGCCGTTGAAGTGAAGCCCACTAGGACAGGAATAAATACGAATCAAATTTTGTGCTTCCCAGTATTGCTTTTGCTTCCTTGTTTACGTGAAATATATTTCTGGAAAAGATACTGCCTTTGTTTTAGGAATACGTTTTAAATAAAACACAAAATGCCATGGCTTCCTCCTTAAAGTAATGTTCTTTGTTTCCAGGAACATCTTCTATATTTCTTCATAGCAGTCAGGACTAAATTTCCTATTGCTATTGTTGTTAAAGTTTGCCAGGAATAGAACTGATGAAAGAAGAAACTGCTTTCTCGGGGGGGTTGGGGTTTTTTTTGGTATCTGTAGATCTAGAAAGAAGATCTGTAGTTTGGAAACCAGAAGTTAGATCCTAAGTACAAGCAAGTTATCAGGAGCGACCCTGTTTGTCTTTTCCATTCTAGTTTTACGATGTATAGACACCAGAACTGCCTGCAAGGCTAAGCACCATAAGCTGCAGACACTAGGTGGTTACTCCTTTTTCCTCTTAATGTGATCTTTCCCTGTGTTGTCAGTTCTGTTATGGCTACAGTCCCTGTTTTCCCAGCCCACACAGCTAATAGCAGATTAATGTGAGATGTATCTTAGCATTTATTCCACAATAGTTTATGTTGGTAACCTTGGAACACTGATTCTTATGACGGTAGGTTTCCTGTCCTAACATGTGTGCGCGTGTGTGCGTGCGCACATCTCATAGCATCTTCTTGCAGCTGCTGCTGACATTGCAAATCATAAATGAGTATGCGCTCTTGTGGCTGTTTTATGACTGTACAAATAGTGGTGGGAAGGGAATGTACAGTGCCAGGGTTTTGTTTATTTATTTATTTATTTATAAAAATAAAAAATATTTTTAGATAGATAGATAGATAGATAGATAGATAGATAGATAGATAGATAGATAGATAG